ACAGAAGAGGTAGGGATGTCATGTGTGTAGGGTTGGGGTGGTGGTTGGAATTGAGGTTGTGGGTGGGGTGGTGTATGGTGAGCCGCTTGAGCCTCCCCTTGACCATCTAACCCGAATGTGTAGGAAGGATTACCCTTCTCAAGTTTAGTCAAGGTGGGGTTGGGTAGCTTAAAGGCCTGGTCTCTCCTACCCGACTCTCGATGGATTATCCACCATGTCTCACCACCCATGGGCTGGATCCAATTAAGGCCTCTTAGGTAAGCAAGGTCCATAAGGGTAGAACCCTCTAATTTCCTATGGCCAGTAGGGGTGAAGCCTAGATTTTTTACCGCAATGTGGGTAACCAACCCACCAAAATAGATAGGTGCCCTAGAAGTGTTGGGCTATCCTATGCAGGATGTTCAATTTTTAGAAGTGTTGGGCTATCCTATGCAGGATGTTCAATTTTTCGACGCTAGGAATCACATAGGGGGCCAACAACTCTAGCTCATCCCTCCTTACATTAGCCAGTTCATGCCTTCCAAAGATGGCGAGGCCAACAAACCGTTGCCAAAATTTTGGCACGGGATGTTGAATCAAAGTTCCCTTGGCATGTTGGAGGTTAGTTAAACCCTCCCCTGTGAGTTTTTTTATAGACCACGACAATATGGTCTTGGGAAGGTTCAATGGGTTTATCCGATTTTAGCTCAAACAATTTACCAAATTCTTTCAAAGTCATTCGCACATCATTGTTAAGCAATCAGAATTGAACATGAGTAATTAAAGCATTAGATTTAATCACATTAAAACTGGAAATAAATTCAAAAGTTAAATAATCATAAGTATCATAATGCATTTGAAAAAAAACCACTCATTCCAATACCCTTGAATAATTTTTCTACCGGTTTATCAATTCCTAATCTAGACAATGTAGGATGATGTACAAAGCAAGTAGAAATTACCTGCCTCTAAATGAGGTTAAGCATCCTAGCCCGTTATTCGGTTGAGGTGATCACCACCTCGCTCCACCACGGAATTTGGAGTTCCGGGTCAACCATTGGTGGTTGTTGTTGCCTTGAACTTTCACCCCTTTGTTTCCTAGATCTCTTGGAAGCCATTGGAGTAGGAATTTGATAAATTTGAAGCTTTCTCTCTCTTAGGGTTTTCACAAATGTTGAGAGAAAGTGGGAAAACTTTTATGGAGAATGTAGAGGAAGGTGAGAGGATGAAGAATATGTGAAAATTTATGAGTTTTGATGGGAGAATTTGAGGAGATCTTGAAGAGAAAGTGAGTTTGAAGGTATGAAAATGGAGTTTAGAGAGAGAAAGAGTGAATGAAGAAGATGAAATAAGGGGGAAAAGAAGAGAAGGGAGGAGAAAAAGAAGTTATTTTTCTCACCTCCAATTCGCCAGATTGGGCAAGATTCGCCCGACATTTCTTTTTCCTTCACTCGATTTCTCCAAAATTGCGCCAGATTGTGCGTATTTCCCTTGAATTTCTTTCCTCACTTGTGCGCCCAATCGGGCAAGTTAAAGCTATGAAATTTCTTCACTTGCGCGCCCGATCGGGACTCCTTGCCTGATCAGGCTAATTTTTGTTCGATTTTGTGCGATATTTGCGTGCCCAGCTCGGAGTATTCAAATTCTTCTACTTTTTCTCTTTAAATCTCCTTACTTGTTAATTCAATACCTGTACAAAAACACTTTGGAAAGGTAAAATTACACTCTCCTCACCTCTCTAAAAAAAATAAAGGAAAGGAAAAACTAGTCTAGAAAGCAAGAGATACGGGTTGCCTCCCGCAAAGCGCTGGTTTATCTAGGTCCCGCACGACCTTCTTACCACTATGTGCTCAAGATGGAAGTGGAGTTAGGAGGGTTTCCTCCACATCTCTAACTGTAGCGCCCTCTTGATACACCTTCAATCGTTGGCCATTCACCTTGAACTCTTCACCTTTATTATTCACTAGCTCAACCGAACCAAACTTGTTCACCTTAGTGATAGTGAAGGGGCCTGACCACCTAGAATTTATACTAGTCTATAAGGTGAAGTACCAATTGGTGTCTTAAATGCGGTTCGATACGCCCAAAGTGTGTCATCTAGCTTCATACTCCAATCTTTCCTTGTCAGCTAGCTTGCACAATTATTCAATCAATTAATTAAAAAAATACTTTATTATATACAAGTATACCATACACTTAATATACAATAAGCAAAAACTTGCTTTCATTATTACCTAATAATAACTTATACTTAAAACAAAGCTAAAGAAAAATCAAATCTCAATTGTAATAATAAGAAAACAAGTTTACTTAAGACTAAACTAAGATTTAAATATTTTCCGAGTAGCTACAACTTTGATTTCAATTCCGAGGCTACCTTAGGAACCTGCAACAAAATCACAATGCATTAACATCTAATCAACTAGCATGCATTATGCAGTATATAAATAAAGCAGGTAAAAATAACACACAAATTCCAAACTTTCTATACTCCACCTTAAAGCCTAAGTTAGACAAAATATCACAAGAATCAGCTCAATTGCAAGCAACGACTTCTCTAAACCCCATAATTCTTCTCAAATCAGAATTTGAGTAACACTTATATATTTAACTAGGAAAAGCTAAATACATGGGGGGTATTGTTCTTGATTAAAGAAACCAAGAATACTTTTTTTTAACCTTAATTCTTTTGTCGTTGTGAATAGATTTAGTTTACTTCCTTTGAGGCATACAATCCTTTGAATTAGAGAATGTTATCTCACTATCATTTTTCAAAAACCCTCTAAACAATACAGGAAAGAAATTTCCTAGGTACAGAACAAAGAGGTTCAGATGAAAAAGGCTGCAGCTAAAGGTAGCAAAGCTGAACAGAAAGCTAAGAAAAAGCAAGTTGAGGAGGAAGTAGCCAAACTATCTGCAAATCTCAGAGATAAACATGCACAAGAACATTCTTCGCTGGGCTATAATAGCAGCACAATTGGCAATGGAAATGACAAAGGAAACCTTGATACACTTGTCAAAGCAATTTCCGGAGTATCTGTGGCCAGTAATGCTGGTAATCACAAGGCTGGTAAAAGTGTTAAGAGACTTGAGAAAATAGTTCAGCAAGAAGCTGCAAGGGAACAAAAGAATAAAAGAGGAACAAAGCAACAACACTAGTGATAGTGTAGGAATAGCTTAAGTTAAATTAATACATAGGTACATGGTAATAATGTAATATGAGCCAAAAAGAAGGCTGATTGTTCATTAGGACAGAAAATCCACTAAAATGATATTATGATATTAAGACTTCTAAGAGGCCATGCAATAAGAGATCAGTAGCTATCTCTTACCAATTCAGAAACCATTCAATAAAAAATAGCATCGCCAAATAATTACCGATCAACATGACATTCAAACAAAAACAGACTGAATTTAACTCCTTCATGTACACCAGTCCACTATTCAGGGGAGTATAAGTCCACAACTCAAACAACATTTAAAATAGGTATGAAACATAGTCCACTAACCTCTAGGTAGACTCATAGAGAGTCTGAAATACAAACCCCCCTTCCCCCTTTTAATCCAGACCTATTTCTTTCAATCTATTTCCTTTTACTGTTTTTACTCCCATCTTCAACCAGCAGCAAAAAGAAAACAAGTAGCATCACAGGTTTAGGCAACTAACTTCTCTGATTGCCATTAAGAAAATAAACGCAAATACTGAAAAAATCAAACTAAATAAGTTGATTTCACCATAAAAATCCACAATTGAATCATAATTTTCTCCAGAATTTCAAACAAGTGCACATTACTTAAAGATCACACATATCAGAAAATATTTAACCAATTTAAAGGCATATTGTAGGAAAAAAACAGCAGCAAACACTGGTAGATGATTTTTTAAGGGTAGGAAGATAAAGATGCATCCAAACTAGAGAGTTACAGAGTCAACAAGCTTACAGAGACAAATACAGTTAAGGTTACAAGGCGGATTATTTGAACTAATAGGCATAGATACTCAAAAGAATTCAACTTTGATGATGAATTGCAGACTTTAGTGTTTATAACCCTTTAATTTCACACTAAAAGTGACCAATCAATTTAAAACATTAAGATTAATTACACAATTAGACGACTAGTATCAGCACAAGTAAAATAAAAAAGTAAGTCCTGCATTTCAATTCATTATATATTCCTTTTCTAGCAATCAAATGCTTTAAAGCAAATCACTAAACCAATCAACCATTTCATGGCCAGTTGAGTAATTCAATCCCAATACTACAACAAATTAACTCTTGTGCCACGAATTATGCCACGAGAATACAATATTTGTGGCATAATTTAAGCTTGCCACGGGAAAAATAAGTTCAATAATAAACTTGATATGACAACAAAAATTATGCCACGGGAAAAATGAAGTTTGTGGCTAATTGAAACTAGTGCCACGACTAAATTTTTTCCCATGGCAAATAAACACTTTTGCAACAAGTAATTATGTTCCCGTGGCAGATGGACATTGTTGCCACAACAAATAATTTTTCTCGTGGCAAACAAACACTAGTGTCACGGGTCCTTTTTTTTTTTATACTGTGACAATCATTCTCACACTTGTGCAACATTAAAATTTATTTCCGTGGCCATATGTTAATACAAACGGATCATATTTCTTGTAAGGAAAAAAAACTTAGACTAATGTTATCAATCTTTTAGCTTTAATCAAGAGATATAAACTATGTAAAAAAAAAGTTATTTACAAATTCTTGCAAGTAAAATTGATGGAAACTTGATTATGCACCACTATAAATTAATAATCGTATGACATTAACTCAAATAAAATTCAAATTATTTCATTTTAAAAGTATCGCACCTTATGATTATTGTTAATAATTTTTATTAAAAAAAACCTTAGCGTAAAATAGCATGCAAAATAAGTTTTTTCTTTTTTTCAATTTGTAATTATTAATTCTGGGTCTTTTTGTTTGCATTTTTCGAGATTAGTTTATAATACAAATTGTATAACATGTACATAAAATAAATTGTTCTCAAATGAACTTCCGGAAATTGCACTGAGCCGGTAAAGAGTACGACACGTTTTCCTAAAAGATTATACATGAGCCAAATGGCTAATAACACTTCCTATTATAATATTTTGCAACAATACTTCGTATAGATGTCTTAAAATACTAAGTAAAAAGGATCTTAAAGTCTTAAAATACTAAGTAAAAAGGATCTTTAAATAAAGAATAGATTTTGAGTACCACCAGCTTTCTCCAGAGAACAATTGCTACCAAGAAAGCCGGATAAAAGGTCCATGTTTTATTTTTGACATGATATACAGGCACCAAAAAAACAAAACCAAGAAGTCATCAAACCAACTAAAAAAAATAGAAAGATACGGCACTAGAGAATGGCACTTCCCAATCTTCCTTTTGTATCAAATCTTTATAGAAATCGATTGAGTAGGCTGTTCTACAAAGGAGCCAAGGAGGGTTGATGGTCAGTTTGCACTTGTAAAGGTTCCAACTTCCTAATTATCCTGTCCATAAGAACAATAAGCCCATGTCCTTCTTTCATTCCTTTGTATAAAGGTTTTTCACCTGAAATTGAATATAAATAAAGTACTCGAAATTATAAAATTTGAAGGTAAACATTTAAGACAAACATATATATATGGTGCTAAAGAGCAAAGGTTCAGTACCAGTTTCTTTATTCGGAATCCATAGTCATGATCAACATTTCTTATTCAACAGCATCTGTTACACAATAAACAAAGGCAAGCCAAAGTACTTTAATTGAACTCCATGATGGGAAAATTTAAAAGATAAAAAACGTAATGAAAATTCGATATGCGCAAATCAAGCATTAAAAAACATGATATGCACATGGTAAGTGTAAAGAAAACTTGATATCCAGATGAATATGTCAATAAGATTTAGAATGGCATGCGATGAACTAAAGCTTACCTTGTTCATCAAACCAACCTCTTCAATAATGCCATCATCTATATTCAACAAAACAGGAGCAAATTTATACTTTCATCAATTTACGAAATAATTTTTGCTAATACAATTGATTAAACAAACCAATAAACAATTGAATTCACAAACCTATAATTTCATCAATTAGTTTCAAAAAGACATGAAAAGCTACAAGAAAAAAGCATCTTATTTAAGTGATCTAGAATGTGGATCATTGAGGCTAATTTTGCTAGCGCATCGGCAAATTGATTATCATCCCTTGAGAGATATTTAAAATCAATATGTTCAAAATGCTCGATGAGTTGCTCTAGGTGTGCTTGGTATAATATCATTGTGGAGTTCTTTATTTTCCATTTTTTCATTATATATTTTATAATCAAACTAGAATCTCCATATTCCTCTAATTTTTGCACACCTATGCTAGCGGCTGCTTCTAATCCAAGAATGCACGCTTTACATTCCGCGGCATTATTAGTAACCTCAAAGTCTAATTTGACAGAGATTGGAGTATGTGCTCCCTCTGGACTTATGAGTAACACCCCTACGCCACATCCTTTTTGATTGGACGCACCGTCGAAGTACATTACCCATTTGTCATCTTACATCATGAGAATCTCTTCATCCGGAAGATGAGTAGTTTTTGCATGACTTGTTTGAATCGGATGTTGGGCTAGAAAATCGGAAATCACTTTTCCTTTTATTTACTTTTCAGGAATATATTTTAGCTCGATTCGGCCAACATCACCAACCATTTGAATATCCTTCCTTGTATAGGTGGTTGTTCAAACAAATACTTTATCGGATTTTGTTGAGAAATTACATGAGTGTTGTGTGGTAGCATATAATGTCGTAATTTTTTAGTCGCCCACACTAATGCTAGACTCGTTTTTTCCAAGGTGCTATATTTTGTTTCATATTGAATGAACTTTTTACTTATGTAATATATTGCACGCTCAACTTTTTCTACCTCTTGTGCTAACATGGCGCCTGTGGCCGTGTATGTTACTGTGATGTATAGCCTAAGAGGTAGTTTGGGTACTGGTGGTGCTAAAATTGGTGGACTTTTGAGATAATATTTGATTTTCTCAAAGACCTTTTGGCATTGATCGTCCTATTCATGTTTTTCCTCTTTTTTTAGTTTTTTTAAATATTAGGTTGCAAGTCATAGTCAATTTGTTGATGAATCGACTAATGTATTACAATTTGCCAAGGAACCCCCTAATTTCTTTTTCTGTTTGAGGGGGAGGCATGTCAACGATTGCCTTTATTTTAGAGGGATCGATCTCAATATCGCGTGTGCTTACTACATATCCGAGTAACTTGCCGGAAGTTACTCCGAAGGCGCATTTTTGTGGATTCAATCGCATTTTGTATTCTTTTATGCGAGTGAAAAATTTGCGTAAAGCTTTTAGATGTCCCATTCTATCTTTGAACTTTACTATCATATCATCCACATACACTTCTATCTCTTTATGCATCATATCGTGCAAGAGAGTCGTAGTCGTTCTTTGGTAAGTAGCTCCTACATTTTTTAAACCAAATGGAATGACTGTGTATCAATATGTGCCCCAATGGGTAATAAAGCATGTCTTTTCTTCGTCTTCTTTTGCCATTAAAATTTGGTTGTAACCTGCGTATCCATCCATAAAGGATAACATCGCATGTTCAGCCGTGTTATCTACCAATATGTCAATATGTGGTAGAGGAAAATCGTCTTTAGGGATAGCCTTATTAAGGTCCCAAAAATCGACACACATGCAAACTCGTCCATCCTTTTTGTGGACTGGGACGATGTTCGCCACCCATTCTAGGTAATTACATACGCGAATGAAACCAGCGTCCAATTGTTTCTGTACTTCTTTTATTTTTAATGCAACATCAGGTTTCATTCGTCGAAGTTTTTGTTTTACTGGTTTTGAGTTAGGGTTCAAGGGAATGGTATGTTCCGCGATTTCCCTATCTATTCCAGACATCACCTGTATGACCAAGCGAACACGTCTTCGAATTCTTTGAGAGTCGATATGAGGGTCGATCGCTCTTTTGGATTTAGAGTTAAGCCAATTTTGACTTCTCTTTTGTTTTCATTGGTTCCTATATTGACTATTTCAGTTTCTTCAATGATAGAGTTCTTTTGTTCCCGTTCTTTCACTAGTTCAACCAATTTATTAATGTCATCATCTTTATTAGATTGATTGTTATAGCATTCGAAATATTCAAGAGAAGGCATATACTCGGAAATAGAGCTCATATTATTAAATTCAAAAGAGAGTACATCAGAGAAGTATCCTTTTTGGGATCCTTATCCTTAGAACTAGAAAATAAAGATACAGTAATGGCCACAAGGCCTAAATTTTCTGCTTCCCTAGAGTCTATGCTAGATTCATCGTCTGATTCTTCTAACATCTTCCTTTCGCCTGTGATGATCTCCAATTTATCGCCTTTGTGATTGGTCCATTTGAAGGATTTCCTCCATCCATACTCAAAGGTTTCATTAGAAGGGGTAATCAACAAGGTTGGGTCAAAAGCTTCATCTTGAATGGCATTCTGATTGGTCATTGTAGTGACATGATTTTGCTCTAGTCCAAATAGCAAGTTAAATGCTTGCCCATCATAGCACCCTGGAATCGGGTGTTTTGATTCAATGATTTTAAGATCATCATTCAAGAAGTAGCAATCGTGGAATATTTCTAATCCAGACTTCTTGATTCCTTCCAGAACTAATAGTTTTGGAAAGTCGTAGCTTGGGTAATCTTCTCCCACCCTAATCAATTGTCCTTAAAGGGTTCGTTGGTAGGATGGGAGTAAAGTGACTATCCCTTTCTTGTTGTTGTCTCTACGTGTTTTATTTTATGCATCGTGAGACTCTAGTTCTTCTTTGGTTGTTTTATATCCCTATAGGGAATATTTCAAGCATTATCCCAAACTTGAACCCCACTGTGATCATACACTTAAACATGGTGGCGTCCAAAAGGAAGGAAGATAGAGCAAAAGAATCGCCAACAAGTTTTAGGAACTTGTAAACCATTCACGGGGTGAAGGTTACACCCCTTAACAATCCAGGAGATCGTCAACTCCAATAGGTCTGGAACCATGACTGGAAGTTCGGAGATGAAGGTACAAATGCAACCTAAAAGAGATTAAACCTGACCTAATAATAGGCCTCTACTTTATTCTGGTCGTATTCATGTACGCTTTCTGACTAACATGCAATCAATAGGTTTACCCTAAACCTGTTTAATCTATGTTGGTTGAACGTTAATGCAAAAACAAAACTATTATTGGCGATCACTTGAATTATAATCAAATTAACCCTAACAAGATTATTAATTATCTTATTAAGCGTGATTACAAGTACTAATTCACTTTAAACATGCATAAAAGGCGTGATCAAGCAATAACAATAAATATCAAGCAACATAATCATCATTATAAAATTAATCATAATAGTAATCATAAAAATAATCATGGTAATAATCATAAAAATCATAATTAAATTAATCATGTTAAAGCATAATAATAGCAAGATCCTAGGCATGATACTAACATGATTAATAACAAACCCTAGCATGTCACTAAACAATAAAAATCAAAGCTTTAGCCCTAACATGATACTAACATGAATATAAGAAAGAAAATAGGAAGCATCGCAGGAACCACAATTGTCATATTTGATATTAGAAATTATAGTTTTTACCCTAAACATGATACTAGGAAGCAATAAAACATCCTAACATGACACTAGGAATCATAATAACAATCCAGACATGATTTCTAAATTATAATATCAATAAAGCAATTAAAGCACTTACTTGGATGCCTCGTACCTCTTTCTAATAAGAAAATACACACGTTAGTAACTTCAAGGAAAATAATAAAACAATCAAATTAAATAATTGAAATAGAGATTTGGGACCAAACCCTCAGAAATTAAACCTTTCACGTCTAGGGCGAAGGCAACTTCGAACTTGGCTAGGTGTTTCTAGATCTTGTGAATGCGGAATTTTGTATGAAAAAGGCTAGTTTAGAAAAGAGAGAGATAATAAGATTTAGCTTAGAGAGAGAAGAGAATTGGAGAGTTGTTGATGGAAATTGATGATGAAAATTGATTGAAAACAGAGGTTTTAAGAGGCTATTTATACAGAAAATCAGTCGGATATGATAAAAAAAATGAATCAGAGTTTCGAAAAGAATAAAACACGATGTTGTCGCCAACAACGCGCCTGTCGCCAGACGCTGGAGCTGTCGCCAGACGCCAGGTCTGTCGCCAAACGCTGGGCCTAGCGCCAGGCGCTAGGCCTGTCGTCCGGCGCTGCAAGACAGTTTTTTGCGGATTTTGTTTTTATCATATCTTTTGATCTAGAAGTCAAAATAAGTCATATAATATGTCGTTAGAAAGATCTTGAAGTCTATTTTCCAACCTAATTGAAATCAGAATAAAATATGTTGCAGAAAAAAAGATATGGACGAAACAGTGGAAGAGTATCAGTTTTGGATAGAATTTCATATCTCATTCATATCTTTTTTGTTATAGCTCGGAATTAATATTATAATATATCATTGGAAATATAATTTCAAGATCTATCCAATCATACAAGATTTGGATAAATATTATGAGGCACGAAAATAAAATCTGAATATATTCCACTTTGTACAAAACAAGGATTCTCAAAAGGAGTAGTTTTATTCAATTTCAAACTCTTTGAAACATAATTATCAATCCTAACTCCATTAGGATTTAAAAGAACCTTCTAGAGTATTCTAGAATACTATAATCAATCCTAATAGTTTTAGGAATGATAATTAATAATAGGCCCTCATCTAGATCATTGGGCTGCATATAAAAACCAAACCGGGCCCAGTTTAGTATTTTGGCCATAACTTCCTCATTATTCATCGGAATTGGGCTTATAATATATCGTTGGACTTTTCAAGCCCCATCCAACTACACTATTATTGGACCCTTGTCATGGACCAAACAAAACTGGAATGCACGTTTTTCATAAATAGGGTTAAAAAAGAAATATTTCAAAAACAGAAAGAAGAGATATTTTAATAAAAACATCCTCATCACTAGACTTTTCACACTTTTGCTTTATTCGATAATCAAATGATGTGAAAGGTATTCATCACCGGGTTTGGTTTTGGGGAGACACATTTGGGTGTCTACAATCCCAAT